CACCGTCCTTAGGGAAACCCAACCAAGGATCAGGATGATGTTAGTGCTCAAAGCACCCAAAGGTCAGACCTGCAGCTGGTAGGTAGGAAAGAGGGCAACATATCTGGCAGCTCTGCAATAATGCCAGCTTGTCTCAGCACAGGCTCTCTTGCTCTGTTTCCTTCCACCTCACCTTCCCAGACTTGACTGGTCATGAAACATTCCCCAGGCCCTGATTACTTGCTGATGGCAATTCCTTGGTTCTCGTGGCTCCATTTGTCTGGAAGGCTCAGTACACTGATAGGAGCTGCCCCTCCCTGGAACAACCAAGAGCCTTCTTTTGTACGGCAATAAATTCATCTGGATTGTTCTCCCCTCTGCCACGCAAGAAGTACTTGTGCAAGCACTGCCCCTTTGCAACATGCATTTCATTTCCAGAGAGATTAATTCACACAATGAAGCCTCTGCAGACTTCTTCCTTTCTCTCTGCAAAGGACGAGTCCCAAATAAAACTCGGATCACGCACTCAGGACAGAGCCCAGGAGCTTCCAGTGGGGGAGAAGGTGATGCACACAAGGCTTGCCCAGCAGGAGTCCTGGGGACCAAACGTGCCTCTTTGTGTTGCAAAGCATTCTGTGTGGTTACCTCCAGATCACTGCTAGGGTTGTGGGCCTCGTCCTGCAGTCTCTGCTCAGACAACACCCCCACTGACTGCCACAGAACTTCTGTGAAGGACACAGGGTTTGGCCCAGAAGTTAAAGAAAAGGTTTCTCAGCTTTCAAGTGCAGATGATTAGTGTGCCAGAGACAGTGGGCAGAGGTTTGGCACACTGTACAGAACTGACTTAAAGCTGAAATTTCTCTACCCTTTCTTAGTCCCTTCACTGACACAGGCTCTGAAAGCCACTGGTCTGAGGAGCTGCACTGCATCCACGAGGGGAACATCCTACTTGCTGTAGGACTCAGAGAACAGACCATGCAAAGGGCTCAGTCCAGGCTTTGACACAAGCTGCCTTCTGTCCCTGCAAGCCTGCAAAGATTTTTCCTTCCAAGTTTTGCACAGCACTCAACTAAAACCCTGCAAAGCTCCTCGCTGAGATGAGTCTCTCCATCACAGCTGGTGTTCAGAAACAGGCAGCTCTTCTCCCTGAAAGCCTGTCCTTCCCCAAAACCCGTCAGCCCTTACAGGCCCTCACACAGGAAGGGGTATCCTGCACCAAACCAGTGGCACGTGCAGCCTCCAAGAAGAAAGTGGAACCCCAGGAAGCAGCTGTGCATCTGTGACTCTGGGCAGGATGGGAGGAGAAGGAATGAAGGGCACTCTGAAGTGTGCCAAACTGTGGAGTGCTGTGCAAAGAGGCAGAGGGGGAATGAAGGGTGAAAAGCAACGGACAGATGGAGGTGTGGGCAAAGAGGAAAAGCAACATGATCCCAGTGAGCAAAGAAGGACATCTCCATAGCACTTACAGATAAACAGGATGCTCCCATGCTGAAGGCTCACAGGATCACAGAATTGTTAGGGTTAGAATGGACCTCTGGAGATCATCCAGTCCAACCCCCTGCCAAGGCAGGGTCACCTGGGGCAGGTGACACAGGAATGTGGCCAGGTGGGGTTGGAACGTCTCCATTACCTCCCCAGGCAGCTGTTCCAGGGCTCTGCCACCCTCAGTGGAAAGAAGTTCTTCCTCATGCTGAGGTGGGACTTCTTGTGTTTTAGTTTACTCCTCATCCTGTCACCGGGTACCATCCTCTTTGCATCCACCTTAGAGATATAAAAACCTATGGACTGATGAGATCCCCTCTCAGTCTTCTCTGGTCTGAACTAAACAGGCCCAGCTCCTGCAGTCTCTCCTTGTAAGAAAGAAGCAGTAGGCACCACATTTGCTGAGCCACAGTGTAAGGACAAAGGCAGCCTCTCAGAGCCTTTAAATTTCAGAAGCCTCCTGAGGGAGATTTTACCTTGCACAGGGAGCCACCAGTGGGAGGAGAAAACAAATGACAGGGTGACAGGTCCAGGTTACACAGCCTTACTGTGCAGTGAGCAGGGTAGCTGGAAGACAGATGTCCTTAAACAAGGGCAATTCCCAGCCAGCAGATCAGCTCTCTCCCAGTACCAGTTCCCTGTTTGCACAGCCATGGTGCTGGCAGCATCACCTGGGCTGGGGATGGATGCTGCTTACACCCCCTTCTCATGAGACTCCTGAAACCACTGCAAGTGCAGGGCAGCAGAAGGAGAAGACTTTTTATTCAGGGAACAAGCCTCTGTCTTGCTCAGCAGCCGTGTGGTCAGATGGGACCAAGGGCAAAGAGGGATACATTCCAGTTTCAGTCATGCTCATGTGAATGATTAATCACTGCAAGGACTGGGGAGAGGCTGTGGGTTTATATCCAGGCAGCTTGTTTCAGCAACTGGGTTCAAAATAAAGGCAGAGAAAGGGAGAGAGTGCCAAAATGGTCAAACGACTGAAAGGAATACCCAGAAGAACGGAGTTATCACCTCCTTTTCAGGGAGTTTCAAAGGGAAAGGAGAACAGAGATGAGTATCAAGCTGATCTTACACATCCAGCAGAACACCCAGTAACTGTTCATGGTTGCTCCCCTCTCTGTTTGCTGACACAAAGTGTTGCAGGACTGAGATCACAGCCAGCTCTGTACAGGCAGGGAACACTTGGGAATTTCGGGTATAACGTTTTTGCTGGGAAATTCAAATGGAGCAGGTGGTGAAGAAGAACTCAGGCTGGAGGAACAAAAGTTCAAAATATGCCAGGTTTTGCACGATACACTAAAGAAAAAGCGCTTGACAGCAGAGAAAGCTGTGCTGAGATGAATCAGGATTCACTGCTGTGCTCCAGAGCAGAGCTGTGAGCCAGGCAGAGAGGTGAGGTCTGGGAACAGCAAGGAGTCAAACACACACGGAGGGAGCAAGGGAAGAGTCAGCCACATGTCAAAGGAGGTCATATTGCTGACAGAAGGCAAATGGGGAAATGAAACACCAGGCTCAACCCAAGCTGGTGGAGAGCAGCAGCTTTGAGGGAGAAAGAGAAAGAAGAAACAGAGCAGCCGGTGAGAGCTCTGCAACAAACAGGACAAGAAAAGGAAATGACAACTGGATCTGGAAGGAAGTCAGATGAGAAAGGGTTTTTCTTCAAAGAGTGGCAGTGAAAGGGAAACACAGTAGTAACAACATTTCTACAATGGAAATGGGGGTAGGAGTTTGCTGGTAAAACTGAGAATGTGGGAGTGAGGGCTTGGGTAAGATCTCTGCTTTCAAAATGGCAAAGGGTTGGGGGTCCTCCTCAAAACTAAATGCCAACACCGTGGTCTGTGGAAAATGGGATGAGAAGAAAAGAAAACCTACAGCCAGCATCACAGTGCCCTGATTTTTGGGAAGCTCTGTAGGCAGAATTATGTCTTTTATTTGTAATAAACTCTTGACTTGCTGCCTCTTTAAACTCTGTGTAAAGGACTTCATGCACTGGAGACATATAACATGAGAGGCAGATCACATGGGGGAAACACATGAGACAACTGCATGACTGGGCTTAAAGGATGGCAAAGTCTGGATCTCAGTGAAAGGACTACTAAAGCATGGAGCTAACTATCAGAGAATTCATGGAGTGGAAAGAAAACACAGACTTGGGAGACCTTTTCATGGCCCACAGTCTTGCCATGGTTTGGTTTTATGGAAAACTTCCAAGGGCAAAGGATTGTAGACCGGAATTAGACAAGTTAAAGCATAATGAAATTCTAGGGCACTCAAGAAAATGTCCTCTTGGATAGAAGAAAACAAACCAGAACACTTCTGTAGGAAGTGAAAGCAACACAGGAGAGGGAAGATTGGTCTGGTTTGGAAGACCACACGCAGGGGTGTTGGAGGCTGATGGCTGATGGTGTTGTGAGAAAGAAGGCAAAGCTGACCAAACACATTAATGCTGAAGTATAAAGCAGATTAGTCTGAAATGGCTGATCAATAACCAAGGGTGATCCTGCAGAATCTGATATTTCTATCGAGCCCTGTGGCCTTTTGTCTGGAAAGGATCATGGAGCAGAGGGAAAAGAAGGGAAACCTTGAGCATCCTGGTAACCAGAAAATCAATGACCCTAAGACAGCTCACACACAGTTCTCTAAAACTGACCAGCAGGGGCAGGAAAAACTGGCCTACACTGTCAAAGCAGTCACTACATCTTAAATACCAAGCAGCAGCAGCAGACAGTCAAACCCAAAAGCTGCACTCAGTCTTCCTTTCCTCTCTGCAAACACACAGGCAGAACTCGTTGCTATCACAAAGGACTAGGTATGTCAAGCTACTGAATTCAGACTCTGGAAAGCACTTCATGCTGTCTATCTGTTCCAGGTCTGGCTTCCAAAAACTGGTCTTACCGTTAACTCTTTGGATGAAAATTAAGAGTACACTTATTTTCTAAAATTCACTGAGGGGAAAAAAAGCCCAGCAACAAAAACAAACAAACAAACAAACATACAAAAACTGTTTTGCAGACAGGTATAAATTAAAAAGCCTCTTTTCCACAGAAGCAATTATCAAAAGTCATTATCTTCTGAATTGTCATTCCCTACGTTTCAGGGATGTAATATTATATTCCCTATGTTTCAGGGTAATATCACACACAATAAAATGGGATTTTTACCTTTTATCTGGACAGAGTCCAGTTAGTGAAAAATTTAAGAACACATTCATGCAATGCATTAGCCTAATACATTTTGGGATAATGTGCTATAACAGCTCCCAGTATTTTGGCTGTCCCACATCTGTCCTTACAAACAGTCTTTAAGAAAATCAGTGACTGGGCAAAGCAGAGAACAGTGTGGTCTAACCCAGCCTTACAGACTTCACTGCACAAGCACTGCAGGAGCAGGACTGCAGTTGCACCACAGCTCCCCAGTCCCGTGGGATTCAGCAGCTGCTCCCACACCGTGCATGGATGGAGCTGATGGTGGTACCACCAGTAACAAACCTGGCCCTTTCAGCCCCACAGCAAGCCCCCAGAGCCCCTCAGCCCTACCTGTGGCACAAAGGGCGATGAAGGTCTGTGCATGCTTCCGGATCAAAAGCAACTTGTCTTTAGGGAGAGGCACCTTCCGTAGGATGTGCTCGATGAAATCGTGGGGGGTGACGGCTGCAAGGTTCCACTTCAACTTCCCCAGCACCACCAGCTCCCATTCCTGCAGGAGGAGGATGGGGAGAAGAGAAGAAGAGCCATAAGCAATGCTTAAAAAAACCCACACCTTACTTCACTTCTTTCTCTGATCATAATTTTATCACTGCTAAATTGGTCCTGCTCAAGCCATTTTTTTCCGTACGCCTCTGCTGCTTTGAAGTTGTTGACTTTATATTCTTTTTTTTTCTTTAAACACCAGAAATGTCAAGCTCTACTGAAAATAATGAGACCTGGCAGCTCCTGCCAAGGTTTTACTTTTTTTTTTTTTTTTTTTTGCATCCAGTGCTGAATGCCCACCCAGAAAGTTTAGCCTGCAACTATATATTGCCAAGGTCACTGTGGTCCTTTCCTAGTAACTTCTTTTAAATGGCTATAGTCCTTTCTTTATAGCCATTTAAAGCCCTAGGGATAGCCATGCACAAAAATAACCTAGATATACATTCCTTTTTTTTTTTTTTCAAAACTGGGGAAGTTAGCTTGATGGCATTCCCTCCCAAAACTGTGTTCAAAATGTCCTGCAGATGAACCTGATGGTGCTTAAAACTGCTCCAAGACAGCCTTTGCAGGAAGGCAATGCACACAACACAGCCAAGAAGTGGCTTGTGTGACTTGTCTGCCAGTAAATCACGCAGGATCCATCCCCACATTCTCTGCACACCCAAAACTCCCAGCGAAACTGAAGGAAACCCTGGGGGTGTGTGTAACTCCTGGCCATTTCCCACCACGGGATTCCATGTGGGAATGGCACCCGATCACCAGATCCAGCCACGGGGCTGCCAGCAGGGCTGGACCCAAAATAAAATCCGAGTTTTGAACACCTTTCAGTGCCCCACACAGCGAACAAAAGCTCAGGCCTCCCGACTGGCTCGCTGTCTCATCCACCGGCTCCCTGAATCCCACGCCCAGATCCCTGCGTGCCGAGGATGCGGGATCCCCACGGAGCCCGGCGTGGCGGGGCAGCCCCAGCCGAGCCCGTGGAGCTGGCAAGCTGAACAGCAAGTCCTTTAACTTTGCAGCCCAGGAGACGTCAACCGGCGTTGCCGAGGAACCATAAACATGGACCCCACAATGCCATTTCTGCAGCCGTTTCCCTGAATAGATGCCCACTTTAACTTCCCTACGGACATTCCTACTGGATTATGACAGAGCCCTCCACAGCCTGAGAAGTCTCACATCCACATGCATGTAAAAGGCCACAAAAACCAGGTGGGGATTTTTTTTTCCCCCCTTCCTCAAGAAAACCTGTAAAATGTTTGAACATAACGGCAATTAGGTGAACTAAAGACTGCTCTTCCCAACATTTCTGATGTGACACGGGACAGTAAATCTAAAGGACTGAATACAGGGAAGCACTTCAGACACATGCCTAAATCCACGTGGCTACAATCCTACAAGGAAGTAGGGACACCATTCTGCATCTCCTCCTCTGGGCACCACAGCACTTCCCCTGACAGCCCCTACTACCAAGGGGACAGTTCATGTCCATGAGCGTGCAGCCTTCGCAGGGCAAGGCTCTTCACTCTGAGGAAGCATGAGCTCCCAGCCCCTCCCCAGGGGGAATTCCCAGTGATTCAGAGGAGAAATTCTCCTGGGATTCAGATGGCCATGAGAATCTCTTTAAATTCTCAGTGATTCATAGGAGAAATTCTCCTGGGATTTGGATGGATGGATGGCTACTTGCATCTCTCTGATAGAGCATCGACGTCACCAAGGTGCTCCCGTGTGTGCCCCGCACCACCGGGTAAATGTTATTCTCTTCAACAATTACTAGTTATTCCCTTCAATAATTATCAGTTTGTTTCTGCTTTCTCTGTGCCTGGGCTGAGCCCTGCCTGGAGAAGCATCAGGCACAGGGTGGTTTAACCAACACGGGATGGGTCGGGCTGGGAGAGAGCACAGCGGCGCATCAGGTCCATCCCAGAGCACATGGCACAGGACTGCCTCCAGAGGGTTCTGGAATATCCCCCGTGAGGGAGACTCCACACCCTCCCTGGGCAACCTCTTCCAGCGCTCAGGAACAAAGATCTTGCTCCCGTTCAGGTGGAATCAGTTCCTGCCCGTGGTCTCTTGTCCCACTGCGGGCAGAGCCCTCCCTGGGGATGACATTTATGCACACACGCGTGTCACCTGCCTCGGGGACATCCCGCGGGCAGCACCCAGCGCGGGGGGGCAGCGGGGCCGGCCGTTCCCACGTCCATCCCGAGGCGGATCCCCCCCGGAATTCCTGCGGGAGCCGCCCCCGCGCGTTCCCGGCACGGCCGCGTGGCTGCCGCCAGGGGGCGCC